GGTTGCCGTTTAGGTTTCTATGAGCCGGTGCGCAAAACCGTCACGACCGCGGTTTACGACGATGCCCAGGTGCAGTCCCTCGGCATCAATGTCTTCGCCGGTGCCTCCTCCGGCATCATCGGAGCTGCCTTTGGCTCCCCTTTCTTCTTGGTGAAGACGCGTCTTCAATCCTACTCCCCGTTCCTCCCCGTCGGAACCCAGCACAAATATCGAAACATGTTAGACGGAATGCGACAGATCAAGTCCACCGAGGGACTTGGCGGACTTTACCGCGGTGTAAATGCCGCCATGGTGCGGACGGGCTTTGGTAGCTCTGTGCAGCTTCCCACGTACTTTTTCGCGAAGCGAAACTTGATGAAGCACATGGATTTGAAAGACGGCCCTGCTCTGCATTTGGCGAGCAGCACGGCATCCGGCTTTGTCGTGTGCTGTGTCATGCACCCCCCTGGTAGGTATCATGGTTTCGCAAGCGCAGTGCCTTTTCGCTAACTATCATGGTAAAGACACGATTATGTCGCGGATGTACAACCAAACCGGCAACCTCTACAAGAGCGGTCTCGACTGCTTGGTCAAGACCGTGCGCAAGGAAGGCATCTTTGCGCTCTACAAGGGCTACTTCGCTCATCTGGCCCGTATCCTACCGCACACTGTACGTTCGATCCACCTCCGGAAAAATTTGAGAACATGAGTACCAGCCACAGATTGCTAACCCCCTTCCAGATCCTGACTCTCAGTCTGGCCGAGCAAACGAACAAGCTCATGCGTCGGGCGGAGGACCGGTTCCTCTCCGACTCTTTGAAGTCGAACCTGTAAATATGCAAGATCGTATAGAATTAACCACAATCTTGCTGTGGGACGCCGACATGGCTTTTTTCGGTCATTTTGTAGATGAGGCATGTCGGCCTGGGCCGTGAGGTTCTACATAGACATTTATCTCCGCTAACCATGCTACTACATTTTACACATCTCTGTACATATGCATCTAGAAGCGTTTCAATTCATTGGTGATAGTATTCATATTTTACTATAAGTATCCCCGACAATTGCCAACTTCATACCTAGGTAGTGAGGAACGCATCAACAATAGCGATCGCTGATCTCATGCTATATTGAAGCACCTGGCGAGGCATGGAGTAGTCAATGAGCATTATAGTGTCAGCATCTATATCTAAATCCCATCTATTCAAGATATTAATTAGATTAGTTCCCCACACCAGTCTAGGCAAGGTGGCCGAGCGGTTAAGGCGCTAGTTTTAGGTTGATTCAAATCTGATCACTAGTTTCTCTGATTCATGGGTTCGAATCCCATCCTTGTCAATCTTTTTGAATTTTGTGATTTTTTTTTGTCTTTTTCGTAGTAGAGTTAGATTATCGGAATGCAATGGTGATTGTTGTTGATACATGCAGGCCGTTCTTATTTCTTAGTTAGCCATGAGTAAGAATAGCTTGCGACTTACTAATGTGGGTTGAGAACGCGCGCCCGCGATTGACTGGGGTAACGAGCCAGCTGCAGATTGCCTGCAATGCTATACCGGGTTATGCCATACAGATCACAGTAGTGAGATTGGAATAAATCCTGGTTTGATATAAATAATTACGTGTACCTCATCCCAAGCCAAACCCACAGATCCAGATCATTAGCAAACGGGAAAGCCATCAACAAACGGCAAGGCCGACTTCGGCACATCTTGATGCGCGCAAACCAGCCGCGAGACGCGTCTTTGCACTTCAAACGTCATAATTGAGGATCTATTTTATCAATTCACTAAAGTCTTCACCCCCCGCCGCCCCTGGTGGGTCAGGATATTGCCATAGGCAAGTGTAAACGACAATCAGAGACTGTCTTACGTAGTGAATATCACCGGGTCTGAAGCTGCCACCGGATACTGCTGCTACTCGCGTCAAGATGTGAGACAAGGCTGTCCGACGCGTAAAACCACCAATAATTGCAACCGTGCCTGATTTACCAAGGCTTACTGAAGAATTATCAAATTCTTCGTCAGCCCGTTGATGTGGAGATAACTGGGTCTGGATCATTGCCATGGTGCCTACATGCTTTCCGGCGGAGGCCATCAGTCACATAGCAATTCAGGTGCATACTCCAATAAAGCAAGGGGGTGGAAAGACAAAAGGGGGACTGGGCTAGGCGGGGCACTCCACTGCACCAGGCGAACGAGTGAGTCTTCTCGAATGTCGTGTCAAAACCGCCCAAAAATGAAGGGCGACGATCGAGATGGCATCGCATCAGATAAGATTTGCCGATTCACGGGCAACGCGACCATTGATACAATTCCTTGCCTAGGTAGGTTAGTTCGGTATGTGGGGGCAGTGTAGCTGCCTAGCGAAGAGCGAGGATTCCAGCTGTGTTTCGAGGATGTGAGCTCGGATGGAGCTGAGAGCGGGTGGTCTGAAAGCGAGCGAGCTAATCAAATCCAGATAAAAATCTGGGTCGGCGGGGGCTCGTGCAGCGAAGGGGGAGGGCAGGAAAACCAGAGACGTGTAGAAGTGGATGGGGGAGACGCGACGCCAACAAAGAAAACCGGCCGGATAGTGTACCTTACATAAGATCGCCCCAACCACACGTCCGCCAAGTCACGTGCGACGTGACTTAGCCCGTCGCGCTAGCCGTCACGCTCCTCGTCCGAAGCAAAGTATTTCTTCCTCACTTCCCCCCCTCTCTTCCCGTCGCTTTTCTCTCTTCATCCCATTCCTTCAATTCAATATCACGGAGTGCCACAGTTTCTTCTTTGCTCCTTTTGTTGTCTTGTTTAGTCTACATAGCCTTGCAGTACTTTCACAATGTCTGCTCAAGTCACTCCCTCTAAGCAGGTACGTGATGTCACGCTTGTGGCCACCGGCCTCGACGCGTCTCTGGAAACCCACAACGTGCTAACGTGATCAATCAATTGAACAGGCTGCATCTTCCCTCGAGAACCTCAAGATGAGCGACTCTCCTGTCAAGAAGCTCAACTTCGACTCGGCCGGCAAGGAAAACGCGCCCTCCACTCGCGTCGACGCGCCTGCCGGCAAGATCGTGGAGAAGCCCGCTCAGACAGTCACGACCACCCCGACTGCTAAGGAGCTGGAGGCCACTGAGCCTTTGCTTCAGGAGAACCCTCACCGTTTTGTTCTCTTCCCCATCAAGTATCATGAGGTGAGTGTCACGTCCATCACGCGTCGCGCGTAAAGTGGAAAAAATTCCTTTTACCCGTTTTGACCGCCCTCGATCCTCGCGCGTCCGCTAACGCGTTTCCCCTCCGAACAATTAGATTTGGCAAATGTACAAGAAGGCCGAGGCCTCTTTCTGGACCGCCGAGGAGATCGATCTCTCCAAGGATTTGCACGATTGGAACAGCCGCCTGAACGACGATGAGCGCTACTTTATTTCGCACGTCTTGGCTTTCTTTGCCGCGTCTGACGGCATTGTCAACGAGAACCTGCTGGAGCGCTTCAGCAATGAGGTGCAGGTCCCCGAGGCTCGCTGCTTCTACGGATTCCAGATCATGATTGAGAACATTCACTCGGAGACCTACTCGCTCCTCATCGACACATACATCAAGGAGCCCAAGCAGCGCACCCACCTCTTCGATGCCATTGATACCAGTACGTTGCATCAGACCTTCGTTGTGTCCATTGACAGATAACTAACATCAACCCAAGTCCCTTGCATCAGGAAGAAGGCCGACTGGGCCATCCGGTGGATCCAGGACACCGAGTCCACCTTTGCCTCGCGTCTCGTGGCCTTTGCTGCTGTCGAGGGCATCTTTTTCTCTGGCTCCTTTGCCTCCATCTTCTGGTTGAAGAAGCGTGGCTTGATGCCGGGTCTTACCTTCTCCAACGAGCTGATCTCTCGTGACGAGGGTCTCCACACCGACTTCGCGTGCTTGCTGTTCTCGCACCTGAACAACCGCCCGAGCAAGCAGGTTGTCGAGGATATCATCGTGGAAGCGGTCTCGATCGAGAAAGAGTTCCTGACGGATGCCCTTCCGTGCGCCCTGCTGGGTATGAACTCCAACCTGATGTGCCAGTACATCGAGTTCGTCGCCGACCGTCTTCTGGTGGCTCTTGGCAACAAGAAGTACTTCAACGCCACCAACCCCTTCGACTTCATGGAGTCGATCTCTCTGGCCGGCAAGACCAACTTCTTCGAGAAGCGGGTGGGTGACTACCAGAAGGCCGGTGTCATGGCTAGCGCCAAGAAGGACACCGAGAAAGTGGAAAGCAAGACCTCCGCCGGCCTTAGCTTTGACGATGATTTCTAGACCACCCTCCCCACATATACCCGGCTGCTCGTTCAGCAGCAGCCATTTTATACGAGCCCACTGTTTGACTTCTGTTTTTGTTTTACATTCCCCTCTTGTTGCTTTTTTCCCTTTTATTTTTTTTTTATTTTTATATTTTTCTTTAAGTGATTGATGAAGCTACTTCGAGGTATACGCATGGGACTGGCGTTGGAAAGGCGGTAATTTTTTTTGTTCGATGTATGGTGGGAGTCCTGTCTAGCTGTGGCCGGATGGGCAGTCGACTGTATCTAAAATACTATGATGTACATTGATTGGATAATTATGTTTTAATCTTTAGATTGTATGAAGAATCGTAGTTCCATTCCCTATAATATGGGTATTTCGACGAAAGATGCCGAGGAACGCTAAAGCAATGGATCTTATCAGAACGGGGGTCAACGGTCGCCGTGCCTATGAGTGAAGATAGTCGCCGCATCATCGGGTATCGTATCTATTATTTATGACTGCGTAGTTGTGATCCATCCACCTGTCGTATCCTAACTCGCCCAGTTTTCCCACCACCCTACTTCAGACTGGTAATACGTATATAAGGAAGGGCAGGAAGTAAAGCAACCGCCCTACCCCCGCCGTCCGTGGGAAGCAAGACCCCCCATAGTCTTGAGTCTGGACCTACCCCAGCAAACGTACTCATCAACGACACAGCCATGCACGCACATCCACACCACACCGCCCATCCATCCATCCATCTAACCCATCTCACCTCCTCCCCTTCCCACCCTTCTTCTTCCCTTTCCCTCCCTTCCCACCAGCATCCCCCTTCGCAGGCGCAGCGGGAACAACAGGCGTCGACGCACCCCCACTAGTAGCATCCTCAGGCGCATCCGCCATCTCCACATCAGCCGCGGCAGGCGCCGCAGGCACGGGATTCGATAGGCCCAGCTCGGCAACGCTGGCGCCGGCAGCCAGCTTGCCTAGACTTGTGATCAGACGGCCGACTTCGGCGGCTTTGTTGGTGCGGTACTTGAGGCAGATTCCGGTTGTGGGGTTGTAGGTTTTGAGGGTGAGGTAGGCGAGGGGTGTGGTGGGTGTTTGCGGGGTGGTTTCTGTGGTGGTGGCGGGGGAGGACGTGGAGGTGGGCTTGGATTTTTGTTTTCGGGAGGTGTTGGAGGGGCGTGTCGAGGGGAAGTTGTATTTTGTTGTGATTCGGGTCTGTGGTGGTGATTATTAGTTAGTTTGATTGAGACTTTTTTTGAGATTGAAATTTGTATTTTTGTCTTCTTCCTCTTTTGGATATGGTGTCCTTTCATTCTTGGTGTCTTTCTCTTTTTGGAAGGGGAATAGACATAATTGGAATTGGGTATATAGGTATTTCCTAATTCCTGTCTGTTCAAACGTACCGTGTCCGGATATGCCTGGAGTAACAGCGCAGACTGTTCCAGGTAGGCGTGCGAGGTGGGGAGTAGTGGCATCTTGTGCGGTGCTTTTGTCTCTGATTGCCGGGACGAGATAAGAGTATATTTATGGTTGGATGAATGACCTGGGTGGCAGTCCAGGTGAGAACAGGAAATGCAGAGGTCGTGGGAGGTCAAGCAACAGGTGGTGTATGGAGTGACAGAGGTGGAGTGCGGGAGCTGTGAGTGTCAAGTCGGAGGTCGACTCGGCTGGTGGTCTTGGCGTGGGTGTGGATGTTATATACTACCCAGCTACGGTGTACTTTAGCCATTTCAGGATGTTGGTTATTGACTGTTCGTTCTCATTAGACAGGATATAACTATAGGGTTTATCCTTCTCAATAAGGCTGGATAGTATGAAATTCTACGACAAAAATATTTCGGATGTTAGTGACACGATCACCTGACTGCCTCTATATCCTCCTCTCAGTCCAGCCCAATCCATATCCACATGTACCACTTTCTTTGCGATTTTCTGGAACTCTTTTCCACCGTTCTTGTCGGTAGATAGTTACCCCAGCTATAGATTGCTTAATAATCTCTAATCCGTGGTTTTACGCCCAAGATAGTAGGCACGCTTTCGTTGTGGGACGTACAGGCACTCAGAAGAAGCATGGAAGCCACCAGTGCTAGCCTCAACCGAACAGTTCTCATCTTGGGAAATTTCCATCTAGAGCAGAGACTCGCGCACCTCATCCATTCATCTCTACCGCATGATGGCGCAAAAAAGACCGTGTGTCCGTGCTTCACCAAACCCAGGAACTACCAGCGTTCTCCACCCCCAACGCAGTTAGAAACCCGGAGACCCTGACCGTTCCAAGGGGCACCTATTCTAGTTTCTAGGAAACCCCTGTCTTATTAGACGATGGAAATAGTATCATAGGCGACCTCCATTAGTTCCGTCGGGAAGGTGGTCCATGAGCCATCCGTTGCGGGTAATAAAGGGCCGATCTTCCAGCGCAATTGTCCGCGTCAATACCCCTAAACCGATGGGACCTGTCTTGCTCCGTAGACCGAAGCGAGAAGGATCGCAAGGTTCCGGAGAACAATTGATTGTGATGATGGAGCTACTTGGTAGGAAGCCATCTCAGTATACAGATAAATAGGAGGGTACGTTCGATGTCTCCTCTATCAGTCTTTTCCTATCAACACAGTTAGTTCGTCCTTACTCGAGATCAGACCAGCCAAGTCGTATCCAATCCGGTACCGAGCACTGACTGACTGGGTATATTCGAACCGGCGTTCCTCCTGAAACAGACTACTTGACTCCCACATGAAGGAACCAACATGGGGGTACTACCGTGGTATGTGATGGCGCAAGCTTTGATACTTGGCTGAATTGGTAATAATAGACATTAGACACTGTAAAGGCTATACTCCACCCACCAGAAGGCATACCTTATTGATCTGATACATATAATGCGAACCAATAATCCAGGAACCAGAATCTATCCAGGTATGGTACGGTAATCGGAGAGGCTATTCCTGATGGGTTCTAGTGGAGATCCATCAGTCGAACTCTCTCAATCTCCGATCGTCTTTCTCTCTATCTAGACTTCTTCATTCCTTATAGAGAACGCTCAGGGTTTGCCTTTTTTTTCTTTCGTTCTCGTTGTTCTTTTTTGTCTTTTCTCTTTATCCCTGCTTCTTTTTTACCTATCTCTTTTCGGGGTTCCCTTTTTTAGACTGCAATTGCATCATTGGCGCCTTGTCCATCCATTGATTCAACTCACAACCTTCTGTCTCTCCATTCCAACACTGATTCCCTCTCATTGCTCTCTCAACTTCAGCTCGATGCTTCTCCCCGTCAATCTCACTGAATCGCTAAACCGGCCGATCATTACCCGTGGTTGAGGAGGGGTTCAACATCGGGCCAAGAAACGTGGAGACCATCCGAACTTCCCTATCGCCAAAAAATAAAAGTGGAGGCCCCGAACCATCCACTAAGAAGGGCCCCTGAACTCCTGAGAGGTTCGCGACAGACACCATTGTCGCATCTCGTCCCCTTCATATGATCCTTGATCTCTAATTGCTCGTGTGTTAGTGTCCGGCCTGGGGAAGATCTTGGTGTCTGGAGAGGAACTCTGTTGTTTCTCTGCCCACCATTTCAAATCATACCTGTTGTTGCCTGGCTAGAACACTCGATCCTCTCATCCAAGTGTTCGCGCGCTTTATATTCTAACTTTCGTAGACTTTCCTCTCCCCCGTCTTCTTTTCTTTCTTTCCTTTCTCGTCTTTTTTTTTGTCTTTTCTTTTTTTTCTCTTGCCTTTTTGGTGCCTTTCTGGATCGGGTGGTCATCATCGCCCGCGCCTACACCGACTCAATCCGTCTGATCGACTTTCAAGTCTCCTCCGTTCAGGGCCTTCGCCTCTGATGCGGTTCCTATCATGTCTCTCAATGGGCTAGATAATCCCGCTGTCAACGAAGCCTTTCAGACTGTCTTGCACGAAGCGGGGGGGTGGTAAGTCGCGTGTTCCGTCTCCATTGTATTGCCGGGTGGTTCGAGTGGAATCGCTTCATCCATACTACCCGATGCACGAGCTAATATGTCCAATTTGGTATATAGGTTTCTTCTCAAATACGTGTCAAGAGATGAGGTGGCTCTCTTCGACCGGGGAACGGGCGGGGTGCCCGACGTACGGAATGCGATCGATGCGTTCGAGGAGAACTCCCCGCTTTACGGTGTTTTGCAATATCGACGGAGGAAGGTGGTACTCAGCTATCTGCCGGACGATGTTTCCCGCCTCGTCAAAGGTGCGCCCAGCTTGCTCCGCACTAATCCCTGATGTATTCAACTGACCATGATCTTGAACTTCTTTCAGCCCGGACCACGGTTCAGTTTCAATCGGTCTTGGACAGATTCTCGCCCCACGATGCGGTCTTTTCCTTTTCAAGCGCGTCGGGACTCAGTGAAAGCTCGTTGTCGTCTACTTGCCTCCTCCACACCGCCACGGACTCCATGACTTCTTCGTCCTCGGGTTCTCTTCGCCGCCGGAAGTTGATGAAGATCGCCGAGGATGCAGAGGAGAGTCCCAGTGATAGAGACGTGGCATCGACCTATGATGCAGGCAGTAGTATACACCAGAGAACCTTCAGTACACTTTCCGACGCTACAGCAACGCCCTCGGCGCATGGTGCATCGAGCACGCAAGAGCCGTCCGGCAGCGAACAGCCGGCGGCGCCCGCACCCACGGCTTCAATAGCGTCGCGGCCATCTTCATTAGCACCGTCGCGGCCTGGGACTCGCGGCTCCGACATGGTCCATGGAGACTCGACTACACATCCCACAATTACTCCAGACCGACCAGGTTCGTCAAGAAGTTTTCAACCCCCAACGATGTCAGCTACGAATGGTTCAAATGCCTACGTGAACAACCAATCCTCCTCGGCGTCCATTTCCGAACGGCCGAGCTCGTCCGCTCATGCCCGAGAGGACCTGCCTCACCCATCATCACAGTCGCGCATGTCCACGCAGTCCGCGAGACCGGCGTTTCAAGACCTAGATCGGGCGGGTACCCCTACCATGCCCAAAGTCAAACTGGGGCCCCGACCGTCAGTGGGCAGCAGTGGACGGCCACGGACAGCGGGGAATAATACGTCTCGTCGCGTGGAACAGCGACCCGTCGCATCACTACCCACTGGTATGCGATCGTCTTCCTTCCGAAAAGCGAATCCGATTGACGCTCGCCCCCGTTCCCAAGGGAGCACCTCGGCGACCATGTCTGGTGGGAAAGCCCCCCCAGTTCCTCCACTGGCAGTTCCTCCATTTTCCATGTCTATCCCGAGGTCTAAGCTCTCGCCCGGCGCCAAGTCTCTAAGTGCACTATCATCGGCTGGGACATCGCACGAGAGAGAGCGTCTGATGAAAGCTGTCCAGATGCGAAAGGCGCAGATGGAAAAGCGAGCGGCGGAAGGGAAGAATATTCGAGTTCAGGAGGGCCGGGGGTCGGAGCCAAAGGTGAATGGTAGCAGCACTGAGGATAAGGAAAACGCCCGCGAGCAGCTCGATCGGAAGCATCAGAAACGAGTCGACGTGTCGGCGTCCAGCAAGGAACCACTCTCAGAGGTTCAGATATCCGTTACCCCTGAATCAGCCGGGCGGACAGTCGAACCACCAACCGAGCGACCGGCGGAGCAGCCAATTGACCAGCCGGTTGAACATTCAGTTGAACATCCAGTTGAACGTCCGAATGAGCGTCCAGCCGGGCTCGACAGTGTGGCAGAGGAGCACATGTCGGCGGATTCTTCAGACCCTGAATCGGACGGTGAAACCACGGTTTCCGAATTCGCTGGCGATGAACCTCTCATCACCTCATTCCCTACTCCAGGGTCGAGAGTTCTGACCGACCGTAGTGCTGCTTTGGAGGCGTTGGAACAACGTCAGACCGCCCAAGTTCGCCCAGAGACTGAAACGGAGGTTGTCGAGGAGGAGGCCTTGGCCGTCTCCGTTGACAATCAAACTAAAAGTGGCCCCGTCTCGCCTAGCGTGCTCATCAACGTCCCACCTGAAAAGAAGCCCCAAAACCCCCCAGAGAAGGAAATTACTGTCCCTTCCTCCCCACCACCCACCGCAAAGCCTCTTGTTCCTGGTGAACGAGAGGCGGAAATAATCACCAAGCCGGCCGAATCAGTCCGCCCACAAGACGTCCCTGTCCCCACCTCTCCATCCCCCGATCCACAGCCGACCCCTGTCCCCGATTCTTCATCAGTGATCGCGTCTCCCGCCGGCGAGCCGGAGCATGAGCTAACCCCTGAAAATTTGAACGTGGAGCAACCGGCCGTCACCCGACAAGATAACCCGAAGCCCTTCCTCGAGCCGATCCAGGTACCGACCCCGGAATATTCTGACGACGATAACCTTTTGTCGGACGATTCATTCATGGAAGAATTGACGTCCGCGACGGTCGAAGAGGCCAAGCCCATCTCGGTCGGCAAGTCTCCGCTGTCGCCGGGCTACCCCAACGATAGCAATGGCCGGGCAGCCCCTGATGCGTGGAAGACTTCGCGGGCCGTGACAAACCCAAGCGCAGTTGATCATCAATCTCATGACGCGCATGCGGCGACCGCGACCAGATCCGTGTCCAGTCCTTTCACAGAAGTGGACAGTCCATCCGGCCCTGTCCTAACGGCCAAAAAAGTCAACCTATCCTCGGGAATCTCCCAGCGCATCAAAGCCTTGGAAAAACTCTCGAGCCAAAAACCCTCGCCGGGCTTCGGTCAGCCCTGGGCTCCGCCTGTCGCGCCCCCCTCCTTGGACAAACTCCGTAAGCGGGCCTCTGTATCCTTGGGTGGCCCTCTGGACTTGCCATCGGGCCCCCCGAATGGTTCGCCTGGCTCTGATGCGTTTTCCCGAGCCTCCAGCGTGGCCCGCCGCGGGTCCCAGGCCAGTACCAGGCCTACAACGAGGCGCACCAGCTCGGTATCCGTGACTGCACGGATCATCCGGAGTCCTACCGAGTCTCGTCGCGAGTCGGTCGTGGAACCCTCCGGCCTGAGCGGGTTAAACCTCCAGGCCAGCCCGTTGACAGTCGAGCATGACACTTGCGAAGCTCCTGAGGCTGCTCAGGCCCCCGAAGCCTCTAAGGCTCCCGAGACTCCTCTCTCCCAGGATTTGACAGGCAACCACTCGGAGGTGCGCAGCATGTCGGCCTCCTCTGCCGGCTCCGGCCCTCGTGTTATTTCTACACCTATGCCACGTTCCGAGAGCCGCATGTCTGTCTCTCCCGGCCCCAAGAATGAGAGCCCACTTGGCTCGAAAACCCCCAGTGACATTGCTTCATCCCCCGAGGACAACAAGAAGGAGTCTCGCACGTCCCGCCTCCTGCGCCGCATGTCGTCCATGACGACAAGTTCCCGGAAAAGCCCCCCGGTAAAAGAACAGGACATCCCCGCCGAAAACAAAAGCCCCGAGAAGCCAGCCGTACCGGCGGGCAATGCCCAGGCAGTTGAAATTGGCGAGCTCAATGTCCAATTCCCCGGCACCCTTCTCTGGAAACGACGATACGTCCGCGTCGAGGGTGACGGATCTTTAGTCCTCGGACCCGGTATCAGCGACTCGACCAGCCGTATCGCAGTCAAACGGTATCACCTGAGCGAGCTCCGAACGCCTTGCCTCCCCGATGAAGACGAACAGGAACTCCCCAACAGCATCATCCTCGATTTCTTAGATGGCCGCACTCTCCAATGTGCGTGCGAATCGCGGCAAGGACAAGCCTCTGTACTTCAAAGTAAGTCATGTCTTGGATCATGTTGGTCACGAAACACGTTCACTAACAATCTGTAGCACTGATCGGTGCCCACAGCGCCCATCGATAACTGTCATATATCATCTTTCCCATTTCTTGTTACTTTCCTTCCTTCCTTTTATTCTTTCCTTGCTGTGAAACATAACTGGCACTTCTCTTCGGGTGGTTGAACATGCATATCCATGCGATTTCCCTTTTCATCCTCCAATCATTCCTTCAATTTTCCTTGTTCTGTTTTCAGCGGTATACCCCTCTTAAAAACCATTCTTCCTGTTTTTTCACTGGTTGTCCACCAGCCGTCCTCCATATATTTCCTTTCAATCCAGTAAATGTCCCTGTGTGCCCTTGGTCGCTTGATGAGATGTATGATCTTATGATTGAGACCTGGTGTTTTAACAGCTATTTGTTCGACGCAAGGATATCCGGTCAGTAGGTGAATTGGCATCGTCAGCCTGCATTGTTCTTCTTCTTTTCACCCCTTCGTTCCTTGAGATTCTAGGCGTAGTGTGATTGATTCATCCTGCCCTTGCACCGGTTGGACTAGAGGTTGCATAGCGCTTTTTCTTCATTTTGTTCATAGATTCCCCGCTGGACAGTGTATGGGGGAGGTCATGCGCGACCTTATATAAGATGTGGGATAGAATATTTGATGTACTTGTCGCCAATTTCATTCCATTTCAACCCTTGTCAGTTTCCGCATATAATGCAAAGATAGACAATCATGTCTCGGGCTTTGACCCTACAACTCATAGAATATATACATAATTGAAGTGTATTTTAAAATTTCTTTCCCCGATATCTATGAATCAAGATAAAGATAATCTCACACAAACCTAAGAAGGCGATGGCGACCGACTACCCTTCTTCAACCCCGCAACTCGCTTCTCCTCCCACTGTTCCAAGAACCGCTGCACCTTAGGACCCCAAACCTCCTCCCCAGCTTCCAAATCCTTATATTCGAGGATCTTGTCCTCCTCGAGCTCGAAATCCGCCTGGCGGGTGCGGATGAGCGCGCTCATGAGGCCGCAGCTGCCGAGGGCTTTGCCGAGGTCGTGTGCCAGCGAGCGGACGTAGAAACCGGATGAGACTGTCATGGTGATTTTGACGGCGGCTGGTTGCGGGGCTGCGGGCTTCTCCTTCTCTTGCTCGCCCTCCTTTTTCTCTTCCTCCTCCTTCTTCTCCTCTGCGGGGGTGGACTCCGGGGCTGCGTCGGCAGGAGCAGCCTTGGAGGGAGAGGAGGATGACTCCTCCGTCTGGGTAGGGACAGCGTCGCCTTCCGCAGACACCTTCTGCTTCTTCCCGGGCTCGCTGCCTTCGTCGTTTGCAGGGGGCGGCGATTTCCGCTTCGTCGACGACGCTCCCTCCTGCTCTTCGGCCTTGCTCTCGGCACTACCCTCAGCAGTCGACGAGCCAGTCGGCTGCGCATCCAGCAGCTTCTCCGCGACAGCCTTCTCCTCCTCGGGAGCCTCCTCCGCCGGCCACTGGTAGTCATGAGTGCCAGGCGCATACCACTCCAGCACACGCAAGTCGGACACCTCAATAGGCCGCTCCTTAATCTCAATAGGAGGCGCCTTTCCCTCGCGCGCATACTCATAAAGCTTCTTCCCCTGCACCTTCAACGCCGAAAAGATAGGAGGCCTCTGCATAATTTTCCCACGGAACTGCTCCAGCGCAGCCTCGACAGCCTCGCGCGTGATATGCTCATACGGCGCACGGCGAACCACCTTGCCCAGCTTATCGTAAGTGTCCGTCTCCGCGCCGAACAGCACAACCGTCTCGTAGGACTTGGTGCAGCCGAGGAAGTCGTTCAAATTCTTCGTGCCCTTGCCGACGCCCGTGACGAGCACGCCCGTCGCGAGCGGATCCAGCGTGCCCCCGTGGCCAATCTTCACGTCCAGACGCTGTGTGCGGCGCCGGCGGCGCTGGAACTGGCTTTCGCGGTTGCGCCGGGCGCGCTCGGTTTCGAGCCATGGGCGGAAGGTCTCTGAGGGGTTGAAGTGGTGTTGGAGGGTGCGGATTACGTCGGCGGAGGTGACGCCTTGGGGTTTATGGACGGCTGTTATTGTATTGTTGTTAGTGGAGTTCGGGGGTGCAAGGGAATTTCTTGCTTCTTTAGAAAGAAGAAGTGAGACTGACCGAAAACGCCTTCGTAGATCTTTTCTCCAGACATGGTTTTACGGAAGAGATTCAAGCCGTGTTTGAGACCCATCGGTTGCGGGGAGAGAAGACCTTTCTGGAAGGATTGATGGATGGAGGGGCTCGCAGCGATTCAGACCTCCTACAAATTAAAACACAAATCAATTGCGACGAGTGAATGCGAAGGTTCCGATCGACGAGCGTGGAGAGAGGAAAGGAAAAAATGAAGCATTTCAGACGGTCCAGACAGGGCTGGATTACCGTATGGTTCGGCGGGTGTATTTCAAAGCTAATAAGGTAATGTTGATGGTGTATTATAGGTAATGCTGGTCCGGTATTAATACATACTATCAATCCAATGATCCATCATTGACCTCATTCTCCTTCCTTTCTTTCCTCTCTTTGTTGCCTGCTGTTACTTTCTGACAACCCCTCCCCACCTTCATCTGTTCCCTTCAATCTCCCTACTGTGTTCCTCGCAGTAACCCCCCAGACCCATCTCGCTTGTCTACCGCGGCATCATGCTGCCCCCGGAGACATGACATCGCGAGAAGATAATGTCCTGAAACCCCGAGATCCGTCTCTGACGGACGAGAACGACTGGGAAGAGTTCAGTCTGTCCGAAGTCCGAATCCTACTCCCTAGAAAATCGCGCTATGCCAACCTCCTAGCCGCCTCACCGGAGAACCCCGTCCAGGTAACCGGATGTCTGGACGAGGTCGAGGAGGAGCAAGAGTCTCTGGGTATGCATCATCAACACGGACCCTTCTATACCCCCCCACATGTATCCAAATCGAAGACACCTCGACTGACAATTCTCATCCTCGCAGTCCTCGACGAAGACTACCGGACGAAACGCATTGTGCTCGAAAACGTCACCCACTACGCCTACGGTCAACACAGCGATGGCGAGGTCGGCTTCTGGGTCGCCGGCCGCGCGGGGTGGTTCTCCATCTCCCCTGCGAGGGGATACCGCCCGATGTTCAATGACGTGGTGGAGGCGATCGATTTACTGTATTTCCTTGCCGATAAGCATCAGCCGAGGCGGCGCAAACGGAGGACCCTTAATCCTACTGTGGAAGACTTGTGTGAGGAGGTGAGTGTTATCGTGTCGCGCGAACTGCCATCCCGTCGTTCATGCGCGTTACTTACATTCTTTTCTTTTCTCGACAACAGTATATCATCCACACGCATGGCATCTGTGAGGATGCAGATGATTCGGTGGAAGTGTTCTACAAGCATCGCCAGTTTCTCCTGTCGCGGATGCTGAAGAGGGAGGAGGATATCCCGTGGACACAAACGAATATCTTTGAGCACCTTTGCGAAAAGTTCCCGGTATGCATCCCTGTCATTGCGTTTGTCTCTGGCTATCAAGGCTCGGTCTCTAACTGTCTGTAGGAGGACTACGAACAGCTCAAGGCTGAGTACGAGCAAAAGGAGGGGGATGCAGACACCGACGCGGGAGAACATTCTACGCCTGAGCAGCCGAGAGAGACGAAACCCAGTTCGCCGGACCCCACTGCAGCTTCGAGAGATCAGGCCAATACAATATACCAGGTCGTGCTAGACCTGAAGGAAGCGGGATATTTGGCGAGGCGCCAGTTGACTCTGGAGCTCCTTGCTTCCACCCTGGTTGATCGGTACGAGGTCGAGGATGCCGAGTATGCTCGAGAGCTCCTTTCGTCGAGGGCCGACGTCGTTCTCGAGTTAATGGATGAGGCGAAAACGTCGACCTTCGACTGGTCGCGAAAGGTTATCTACCGAGAACTCAAGGCCCTAGCTAAAGAGAATGCCTCGACGAACATTACTTTCACCCCATTGCAACCTCGCACATTGAACGACGATGGTTCATCCGGAGAAGATACCGAAAACGAAGACAGTGATCGCCTGCAAAGACCGCGGATCCGTAAGTCGGTGCTCAGGCCCAAGGGCTCAACCGCCATCAAAAAGTCGGGCAAACGAGCACGGGCCACCGGAATTGATCCGGAATATCTCTCCGACGACAACGCGGACGCCATGGATGAATTCGAGACACCGAGCAAGGTTCGTGGCCATGACCTCGTGCGTGATCCGTTATCAACCAGAGCGAAACGGACCCGCTCGATTCTCTCCGACTCGGGGTCCACCCCGATCCTCAAAACACCGCTCCAGGAGACCTTGCAGAGCCGGAACACCTCAGTCTCTGCCGCTGACCAGGAGCCTTCCGACCTGGACTCCACTCACGGTCTCGATGATCTGCCATCCGACACGTGGGCGTGTCAAGTGCCGGGCTGCGGAAAGACGGTCTCCAAGGCCAGCTTGAAACGGAATCAGAAGGTGATCGACGACCATTCATTGGGGCACGCCGACGACACCAAGGCCAAGCTGGACCTGGTCTTTGCTGAGCAACAACTCAACATTGGTCTTCCCGTGGACAACCTTCTCAGTCGGATTCGGGAGATGGGAACCGCAGACGCCATGGCGTTTTTGGCAAATGGAGCGAGCGAGGTATGATGATGGTGGGCTGCGTGTGTTCGACACTGACGGCTGGGACTCTACTCTGACTGAGATGACCATGGCCGTGCACGGCGTCGTATCGAGCTTCGCCAGCTTTCGCTATTCCCCACCACGTTCCCGATACGTCAGAACGTACGCTTTAGTAGCACGCTTGATCGCGACGCGCAAAAGTGAACAAAATCTGTCATCCCGACAAAACCTCACCAACTCAAATTGAGAATCATACTTTGCTTCAAAGTGACCTCAACGGGGACTTGGGTGTATTCGAAAGGGGTGCATCACGCAGAGCCCCAACCCCCAGCGAGCTCACATTCAGCATGGGAAGAGCGAGTTATTCCGGGATACGGGCATTCCCATCTGATAATAAAAACCCATCGCTTTTTTGTTCAATTGTCTGGGGGGGTTCCAGCCCTTCTTCCTAGGAAGGTCGCGGCTGCTGGGATTTCTTGTCGTCTATCCCTCATGCAAAGGAGATGTAACACGTGCATCTTCGCGAATCACTGGATACTTATATTTTGCCAATATGTGTCAAGCCATGATGTTTGTTCTACACGGTCTATCCACGTCCATCGATTGGTTGGGTTAATTGACATGACACAAGAAATGTAGCTAAAAAGGTAGTAATGTATGGAACAACCCTACCTAATGATAGTGAACTTACATTTCCCACAAACGAGTATACGACCACACCCGCAACAATCACACCCGCAACAATCACACCGTACAAGTAAGCAGTCTCCATAATACTGTGATTCAATATACAGGGAGCCGGATGTACAACCCAGCCAGCCACAGTGGCTACACATACATCTATGACAATCGACCAGCAAAAGAAAAAAGAAGAAGAAGAGCATAACAAACAAATTTTTCTTTTTCAGAGCCCAAACGAAACCGATTTTGAAACCCCATGCAGAACATAACAAAATAAGATATAACATAAGAGATAAATAAGGGATACACAAAGTGAAGAAAAAAAGACCTAAGGTATTAAATCATTTACCCACGCCCCTTCGCAGCCGCCCGCTTACTCTTACCGGGTCTCTTCGCACCCCCCTTCATCTTCTTCGCGGAGAAGTTCCGCAGGTCACCGCTGGAGACAGCGTCGCCGCTCTTGGCGTGGCGCTTGCGACCGCCGAAGCCGAACTTCTCGTTCTTCTTCTGGCGCTTGTGGTTGGTGGCGGAGGAGTCGCCGTCACGGCCTCGCTTGCGGGCGGGCTGGGCGGCGGCGTCTTCGATGGCGACGTCGAAGAGGTCTTTGGAGTCGTCTGTTGGGCCGGAGGAGTCGGTCTTGCGCTCTGTTTGGGGTTAATATTTTTTTTCTTTCTCTTTTTTACACGTAGGGAAGGATGAGGGGAAGGAAGGGGGTTTAGGACATACTCTTCTTCAAAGTGTTGATCTTCTCCAGAGTCTCACGCTTCTCCTTCTGGCGCTGTTGCAGCTTCGCAACCTGCACCTGCTTGCCGAACTTCTTCAGATCGCGCTGCTTGCGGGCTTCAGCGGAGGCCTTCTTGGCGGCAGCTTCGTCGTAGAGCTTCTTCTTGATGCGACCCATGTGCTCGTCGGACTTGACCATCTCAGCGAAGTAATCGCCGGGACGGGTGAAGGGGGTGCCCTCCTTCTTGAGCAGACCGCGGGCGGTGGCGGCGGCGGACTGGCAGACTTTGTAGAAGGCCAGCTCGCGGGTGAGGTCGTCGTTGGGGTCCTCGATGTCGATGGGCTCGGTGGAGACGAGCGAGTTGTGTTCGGAGAAGGGCGTCAGGTGCGAGATGAAGGAGATGCGCTTGAGGGAGGCGTTGATCGCGGCGGAGTTGTTGATCGTCAGGCGTTGGTGGGGGACTACATCTTCTGCTTCGGCGTCGGAGAGGTCGGAGAGGGCGATGTCTTCGTCTTCATCTTCTTCTTCTTCCTCATCTTCCTCCATCTCTTCGTCGTCGTCCTCCTCGTTTTCGGCGACAAAGTCTTCGTCCTCTTCGTCGTCTTCGTCGTCGCTGGCGGCGGCTTCCTTGTTCACCTTGGCCTCTTCGACATTCTTCTTGACTTCGACTTCCTCGTCGCTATCCTGGGCAGCAGCCTTCTTCGCGGCCCTCTTCTTCTCCGCGGCCTTGACTAGCTTCTTCTGCTTCTCGGCGGCGTAGTCGCGACCCTTGTGGTCGTCCAGAGCCTGGAGCAACTTGCTGCGCTTGGCCATCCTGCAGGTCAATTGCAGAGGACTGAAAAGTGAAAGAAAGAAGGAAAGAATAAAACCTAGAGAAAAGGTAGAATTTGGGAGAATGTAGAGTGAACGATTGATCGGTATGAAGATTGAAGCAAAAGGAACGGGAATTTTTTTGGGATGGGACTAGTCCTGTTGTGGTTAGAGGCCCGATAAGGGAGGCGCTAGACTACATTCAGTTTAGTGGCTGATAACCCTCTTACTTCGACCGTTTATCGTGTTGCTTCATCTTATTTACTTCTTCTTTCTCCTCTTCCTCTGCTGGACTGGTGTACCTCTATTCCTTCTCTACGGTTATACGACCCAACAACTCTCCGATATAGGCTTCCAAAGATATACAGATATACACCCCACTCCCCTCTCCAACGCAATGGCCGAAGAATCCAAATCACGCCCTACCTCGGAGACCGTCACCTCTCCCTCCAGCCAACCAGTTTGTCTACCCATCCACTCTCTCTCTCCTTTCCCTCCACCCTCCCCCTCGCTCAGGTCTTCTCTTTCTCTCTAAATATACAAAACTAACACCGCACAGACAGACGCCCAAGGCCAACTCACCGCAGCAGTCGACGACCTCCTCGACCAACTCCAACACAAATTCGACAACGTGTCTCGCGACATGTTCGGCAAGTGTCCGTCTTCCCCTTACACTGCTTCTCTGCCCGGATCATACAACCAGACAACATTAACCATACCCGCCTTTACATCCTCCTCCCCTCCTTGGACCTATCTTTGTCCGGTTACCAGCTAACGGTTGCAGTGGACGACATGGCCCGGAGACTCGACGAGCTGGAGGCCTCGTTAACCATTGCGGGGGATACGGCGTCGCCGGGGGCGGGGAGTCCGAAGAAGTGAATGGATAAACCGTGGATGTGTTTGGGACTGACTTAATCAGTCGGTCTGCACTAGACGGAGCTGGGGAGGTTGTCCAATCGGATGTTTGGTGGATGATCTGATGTATTGTCGCTGTTGCTGCTCGCGCAGTGTTCCTTTTCTTGATACCCCTATGAGATGTCTTATCTCTTTCCAATGCAATCAGAGTGTCGCTGTTAGGATCTACGTACTGGGAATCCCCTGTTCAATGTACTCATATACCGGTGGGTTATCATCCAGGCTGTCTACGCACAGTCGTAATTCTTCACTCATGCCTCGTTTAAGAAAGGCAGTCATCCAAAAGCCTGACGCTTCAATCTTCAGTCCATTCATTCACCTCCAACCTCTAGTTCATACAAATACGTACCCAAAAAGATAAATCAACAAAAAGAAAAAAGCAATCACAGCTCATCCTTCTTCACCTCCTCATCCTTGCCCAGGAACCTCCTCAGCACATTGCTCCGAGCAATCAAATCATCCAGCTTCTCCGGCGCAAAGCCGCCCTTCGCCAGAATCTTCTGCAAGCGCGCAAACTCCTTCCCCACATACTCCTGGTTCTGGCTAATCTTATCGGCAACCTTGACATAGTACTGCGCGTACTTATCCTGGACGCCCTTGGCAGCCTTCTTAATCTCCGCAGCGAGCTTGCTCGCCGAGGGAGACTTGGCAATGATGTCGTCCAGGCTGGGGACGGTGCCAGCGACTTCGTTCAGCGCGCCGCCGACAGCGCGGTTCGTGCCAGCCTTGCTGTTGACAAACTCGACGAAGGCCTCCTCCGAACGCGCGCCGGAGTACACCTCGCCTTCGGTGGAGCCCTTGGGGAAGAACTTGATGGTCGGGTAGCCGGTCACGCCCTGCGCCTTGGCCAGGGCCTTGGAGTGCTCGGCATCGGCGTCGACCTTGGCGATCACGACGTTCGGCTCGAGGAGGAAGTCGCCGGCGAGGGTTTCCCAGGTGGGGGCGAGGTTCTTGCAGTCTATTTCGCATCACTCGTTAGCCACCATCACAACCAACAAGAAAAAGGAAAAGGGGAAAAGATAAAACATACGTCCACACCAAGGCGCCGTAAACGCAACAAGCACGTCCTTCTCCCCGCCAACAACGCTCTTAAACGAATCCTCAGTCAACATCTCGACCTTCGACGGCTCCTTCTTCGGAACCTTCGCCTTAACACCCGTCTTCTCCGTAATCCAAGCGGACAAACTCTCAAGATCACGACCACTGTTATACTCCTCGGGCTGATCCGACTTGCCATCGAACCACTTCAGGGTGGGGAAGCCCTGGACGCCGAAGCGCTTTCCGAGGCTGCGGTGCTCGTCGGCGTCGACCTTGCCGACGGTGACCTTGTCGTCGGCGTGGGCGAAGGCCTGGCCGAGCTCTTCGTAGACGGGGGCCAGGCTCTTGCAGTGGCCGCACCAAGGGGCGAAGAATTCGACTAGCGCGGGCTTGTCGGACTTCAGGACGATGTTGTCGAAGTTCTTGGGGTCGAGGTCGACCACGGCCGCGGTGGCCGTCGCCAGGAGGGAGAGGCCGCTCACGAGGATGTGGCTGAGAGGAGCCATGGTGGGCGATGTGGGTGGGTTAATTCAATTGATTTGGTGTTGGTATATCCCTGAATTCCAGAATTCAAGTAGATGTGTTGCCACCGGAGTAATGAAGCTAGATGGTCGATAGTAAATAGAGCGGGCGGAGGACCTCTTAGTAAAGCGGCGGATCCGCGGTCGTAGCCGGGCCGACTAAAGGACACCTGGTAACTAACAACATCTCAGGCTATCAAGGACCAGGAATGGTTTCATGGTGATCTCAGCCCATACGTTGAGTGTTACATGTTTAGTACTGAATATCAATCCCAATGACTGCTAAAAATAGAGGGAAAAGGAGAAGAAGAATAGAGTATTCTACAGCTACACTACATTCCGGCGCCATATCACCGGATCATCACGTGGTGGGTGGTGTCATCACATTCGTCTCTCTTGTCCTACTTATACAGCTTGCATGAACCCAAGGTCGAAGCGTCCGTGCAAATCGAATGTAGATAGGAAGCGGGCGCTGGTCATGACTGCTCGCGCTTTGGTGTTTTTCGAGTCAGAGTACCAGCACTCAACGTCTCTGTTCCAACCACTGGTTCGCGGTCGCCCAGACTTTCGCATCCTTGACTTCTCGCCCTGCATTCTGGGTACCTTTGTAGACCTGCCGGCAACAATTCGTTAGTAACTTGGAAAGGAAAGGAAGCAACAAAAATAATCGCGGAACTCACCGCATCCCACAGTTTGAAGGCCAGGTCCAGGTTGCCCGTGAAGCTTTCACTGTGCTGGAACCAATCCTTGCCCTTAGACTTGACCTCGGTGCGCGCGTCGGGCGAAGTAGGATCGGCCTGCAGAGGCAGATCATCCAAATAGGTGCGGACGGCAATCCCCAATCCGCAGTCATTGTCGTCGATGAACGGTAGCCTAGAATTTCTGTGTTAGCACCAAGTCTGGAAAGGAAGGGGAAGGGCCACGACTCACTTCACGCTCAGATCACTCCAGTCATTCCGGTTGCGATCGGCGTCCCCGTTCAGGAGGAGACCCGTCAAGATGACTTCGATCAGGTTTCTTAACGTAGAGCGGACTGCCGCGATCAGGGAACGGTAGCAGAGCAGCTGTCGGCTCAAAGGTCCCGAGTACCCTATACTCTTGTGCTGCAGTTTCGCTACACAGGCCACGCGCGAAACAAGCATGTTGAAACTCTTATCCTCGTCTGGATAATGAGAGTGGAGTTAGCTTCAACTTCCCCGGGGTAATCGGTGGATGAACTCACCTGATCCCCTCATGGGACCACCAGACACGTGAGAAAACCATGGCTTGGAATTCAAAAGGCCGAGACGGAGCATCTCAATGGCCAGGAACGTAGCCTCCTCGAGACCGTCGCTCGGGTCGAGGACAGAAAGTGCTTGTTCGAGACAAACTCCCCATGGCGTCAACTGGTGCTTTTCCGTGATATAGCCTCGCAACTGCAAGAATCGCCAGAACACGTTCGATAGGATTTCCTCTTGGGATGACAGCGGCTAGGGACAGTTAGAGCAGCAGGGGGTTCCAGGATGTAGGGCGGGCGTACCTGACTGTCTTTGAGAGACAGAGACTTGGTTGCAAAATCGGAATCCTTCAGACTCTGCACGGCAAATCGGAAGGGCCCGGAAGATGCCTAGTAGCCTGTCAGAACTGTAGTAGCATGGTGATCAAAGCGAGACTGACCTGCAGCTTTTTCAGCCCCTCGGGGAGTTGGTCGGTACGGATCTTCCAGGACTGGATCGTCTCCCGCACGGAGGGGATCGTCTTCAGGTTGATCGACGTGTCGGACTTTTCATCATACCAGGGACGCACATGGATGACTTTAGTCTGATAGAAGCGGTGGAGGGAATTGGAGAGAAGGCAGATCGATTGGGTCTGAATCGGCGTGAGGATGCTGCCTACGACTTGGCGATAGATCTCCGAGTCCTCCACTCCGACTGGCTGAGAGATCAAGACCTCACCGGACGTTAGATAGTTGGGCACGTCGGAGCCGAGAATGCCCTTGGAGATATAGAAATAGAGCTCTTCGGGGAGTCGTTGGCCAATCAGTTCGTGCATGTCGGACGAGGTGTTCTCTGGGTCCATCGGGCCGACCTTGCCATCGACGTCGATGTAAACGTGGTGCTTGACCGTCATGTAGGCACGCTTATAGCGGTCAGTGTACTGAATTTCCTGCATGCGACGGTCCTCCTCAAACTGGGCGCAGAGGCCGAGGGCACTCCGGGCGGCTGAGTTGAACATGGGGAGGGCATCCCGAACGCTGACGCCCTTGTTTTGGAAACCGTTGTTTTCGAAGATGGGGAACGGCTGTAAGAAGGGAGATCCCAAAAGGAGGCCAAGGTCCAAGAATTGGTCGTTTGACAGCCGACCCAGCTCATCCTGTATGGTCTGTTTCGTGATCCAGAAAAATTGGGACGGGTCGGCATCGATGCGGGTAATCAACTTGTTCACATCAAACAGCAAAACTTCCGAGGGGCCAAAGATCGCGTCGACCAACGGGTTGGGTTCCTTGCTCAGGTAGGAAAGCTACGCAGGCGGCAAGTTAACTGATCCGTATCTGCTAGACTCGTCGCGAAGGGTTCATTTGCTGGGCACAAGTCTTACCTGAGCAGCAGCACTGTAGGGGGCGACGATATAATCGATGTTATGGTCGTGCAGGATACGCTGCAGGAATCGGTAAAGAGTGTGAGGTCGGGGGGTGCCTGCAACAGAGCGACTTGGTCAGCATAACAATCCGACCACAACCAAGACCAGGCGCGAATGGGAGCCCTCACCGGCGCCGCTAAAGGCATCCACTACTTGATCGGCCTGTTGCTGGTCATACAAGTCCCAGGCCCGTTCAAACGCCTGCACCGCCTCCGGCTGGACTGACGGCCGTTGGTTTTTGGTGCCAAAGTCGAGTCCGTCGAAAACGAAAACACAAGCCACGCCAATCTCCTTGAACAACTGTAGTTCCCTCTCAATGTTGTTTCTCAGAGCGAAAGGGAACCCTCCCAGGGCCACCAGGAGCGGTTCGCGAAACGAGGGCTGGAGAAGGTGTTGCGAGATGTAGTGCGACGCATCAATACCGACCACGGCACCTTTGAGAGCTGAGAGGGGGAGGGTCTGGGTGAGATGGGGGCGGGACGAGACCCATTCATCAAGCGGACGGACTGTAGGTGATGCAGACGCATTGATTAGCATATATAGAAGATTATCAAAGCTCCAAGAAGCTCCACGAAGCTCCCGGGGCGAAGAGACAGCTTACTCGGCATCGTTCAGGCTGGCGGGCATAGAGTGTCTAGAGCGGGGAGGGGGGGAGGGAGAGGGGAGCAAATGAGGAAAGGAGGGGGGAGGAAACAGAACGATAATTATCGACTGCAAATACTGAAGGGGGGGGAAGAAGGAAAAGAAGAAAAGAAAGAAAAGAGGGACAGAGAGGAAGGAGCAGTGGATCCCAGACTGTTGATCCAGATGATCCAAACAGGTCGAGATGGAGATGCTGGAGATGCAGGAGATGCGACAGGTCGTCGTGGAGCCCGGATGGGGTAGGCGGTGAGTGTCAACAGCTTCATCAGGTACATTGATAAGGATGAAGACATAGGTTTATACTATTGTTTAGGATGAAATATGATTATTTGATTGTTTGGACCTTATAATACTCAGTGGATTGTTTGTTCACTATCATGTCTCGTTCTATCATCTACTATTACCACCCCTGTCGCATCATCATTATCGATGCCTGATATCTATAGCCAAGCTTCTTGATAAGATAGATGATATACAATTAACAGTATCTCCCACTACCGCACCACATCCTTACCACACTCCAATATATTGACCGTCAGCAGTCAATAAAACCCATCGAAACACCACAAACATGTCCGAAATCTCCTCCGTGGGCGCTCCTATCCAACTACCCGTCTTGGACATCTCCAACCCCGACGATGTCGCAACGGGGAAAGCCATGCTCGACGCCGCCGCCCGGTACGGCTTCTTGTACGTCAACAGCCAGGGCTCCGACTTTTCCGCCGAGGATGTGAAGAAGGCTTTTGAACTGGTTAGTCCCCTTGCATAACTGCCTGTTTCCATATCGTTGCAGTGCTGGCGAGATATCTTCCCATATTCCCCGCCTTCGATCTCTCTCGACTGACCCCGCATATAGTCCAAGCAATTCTTCATGTCTCCCGTGGAGGAAAAGGCCGCCTGTCCAATCCAGACCAATGTAGATTACCTGGTCTTCCAACCCTACAAGTGGAAATTTCTAACGAGAGGTCCCATCACAGAACCGAGGCTGGTCCGGCATGCATGCAGAGACATTAGACCCGGAGCATCAGCGAGTATGTTTCTCCACTCCATCATCATCATCTCTCTCTCTCTCTCTCTCGATATA